CTACATCATATCTATGGGGTTAAATTTCATGCACGCATAAATTATTTCACTATAAATTCATTATACCTGTCACCACTCTTACCACCTCGACTAATAATGCTGTGGTAACTAACACCTTCAAGATAATTCAATTTATGGGCGTGCGGGTCGTCATGACTGAACTTGTAATAACAGTTGCCTGAAGATTGCGAAATTGCATGAAACTCTGAGTAGCAACATGTACAATTTTTAAGATTAAATAAATATTGCTCTACAAATTTTTGTGTTGAGCACTCTTCAATCTACTGCAATAACAAAAATTGTTATATATATATATATATATAATTTGAAACGCTCTCCGTGTTTAAATAATAACATATACATACCCTTTTCTAGATATATACAAACAAATTCCAAAACATCAAACAACAAAATCCATTATATAATCCTTCCCCTCGCCAGCTCTACAATGAAGTAGTCCAGGCCTTGGGACCCTGGATGGTTAGACATTATGACGACGATGAAATGAGTTGTGTGGCACATAATGTAAGTCATGAGTCTATCACATGATACTTTCATTTCCTTTATTACCGAGATATAGTTCATTTGCGCAGAACACAACATGCAATTGTGAGATGGATTAATTTTCTTGTGTTGTAGAGATCGGAAGTTCCTTTTAAACCCACATCCAGGGTCCCAAGGCCTGGACTACTTCATTGTAGAGCTGGCGAGGGGAAGGATTATATAATGGATTTTGTTGTTTGATGTTTTGGAATTTGTTTGTATATATCTAGAAAAGGGTATGTATATGTTATTATTTAAACACGGAGAGCGTTTCAAATTACATTATTCCTGTGTTACAACTACAATTTATTTTGTAGCTCTTTGAACATATATATATATATTCGCTCGCTACTCTGGTTTAAATAAATGATTACAAAGCCCAGTGGAATTGTAATCAAGACCCAACGTTTCGACACTCCAGTCTAGTGTCCTCATCAGGGGTGATCTAAAACTGCGATTGTGGCTTCTTAAATACCCAAGGGATGACGTCACCTGCCAAGAAGATGCATATATTCCTCTGGCAAATAGGCGCCGTAATCCCTATTCAAAGCATGATGACACATATTTATATGCCACGCTTCTAGGCAAAGTCTTTGACCATAGCGATTGTTTGTGGTAATTACTTTAGAAAAGTAATTCCTTCTAAAGTAATTATCACAAACAATCGCTATTGTCAAAGACTTTGCCTAGAAGCGTGGCATATAAATATGAGTCATCATGCTTTGAATAGCGATGACGGCGCCTATTTGCCAGAGGAATATATGCATCTTCTTGGCAGGTGACGTCAACCCTTGGGTATTTAAGAAGATCACCCCTGATGAAGACACTAGACTGGAGTGTCGAAACGTTGGGTCTTGATTACAATTCGACTGGGCTTTGTAATCATTTATTTAAACCAGAGTAGCGAGCGAAACATGATTGATATACCTGGTTGCAGTGAACAAACAAATATATATATATATATATATATATATATAATGCAGCTGGGATGATTCATATTTATATATTAAAAGATTAAAAGTTTCTTGTCACTAGCTATGTAAAAAACGTAATCACGTTTATAAAAAAGTTTTTACAAGACGTTTCGATCAGAAACCTCCAATCTTCGTCAGTTGATATTAAAAACTAAGAAGCCAATAAAACAGGCCTCTATTTATACGGTTCGTTAGCTATTAATTTGGATGCATCAGTGACCCATAAACGTCTGGAATGTCAATATGGTCATTGCCAGAACTTTTATCCACTTGGGAATACCAAGCCTCAAGGAAAAATCGTTTGCGATAATTTTTCTCTCTACTAACTATTTCGCCGTTTTCAAAGTCCATATTATGGTCACATTGCTCAACGTGTTGGGCAATCTTGGAATTCTTATCATTATACTCAACAGCTCTTTTATGTTCTTTTATTCTTGTTTTCAATGCTCGGTTGGTTTGACCATAATAAGTAAAATCACAAGCAGAACATTCAATTTTGTAAACGATGTCCCTTGTACGGTTGGTGTCCAGCTTATCTTTTGGCTTTGGAAATTCTTGCTGTAATGTGCGAGTTGGTTGGAATGAAACACGAATTTTCTCACGTTGTAATGTTCTTGTAATTCTTTCTGTAACGCCCTTTATATATGGTAGAACAACAAAACTAGATGAAACTGTTGATTTTTGCATTGCATTCACATTTTCGAGCGAACTATTTAATTCCTTGTTTTTGTATCGCCTCCTGTTATCACAGCTTTTTATGGAACACATAGAAGAAATTGCTTTAACAACTGCTCTCAACCCACCCCGTTGGTGGTTCAAGTTTGTTGATGATAGCCATGCTTGCCTAAAACGTAAATATGTAGAGGAGTTTCATCAGCATTTAAATTCAATAGACAAGCAAATCCAATTCACCATTGAAGCGGAAGAAAATAATAGATTACCATTCTTGGATACTGTAACAATTAGGCAAAATGGTCAAATTAGGGTTGATGTTTACCGTAAAAAGGCGCATACGGACAAATACCTGGATTACACGTCAAATCACCCTCCACAACACAAGCGATCTGTAGTTAATACTTTACTCAATAGGGAAGAGAAAATACCCTCAACAAACCGGGGAAAACGTAGAGAAAGAAAACATGTCCTAAAGGTCCTAAGAGATAACGGTTACCCCTTACAATTCATAAAAAGCTGTGATAACAGGAGGCGATACAAAAACAAGGAATTAAATAGTTCGCACGAAAATGTGAATGCAACGCAAAAATCAACAGTTTCATCTAGTTATGTTGTTCTACCATATATAAAGGGCGTTACAGAAAGAATTACAAGAACATTACAACGTGAGAAAATTCGTGTTTCATTCCAACCAACTCGCACATTACAGCAAGAATTTCCAAAGCCAAAAGATAAGCTAGACACCAACCGTACAAGGGACATCGTTTACAAAATTGAATGTTGTGCTTGTGATTTTACTTATTATGGTCAAACCAACCGAGCATTGAAAACAAGAATAAAAGAACATAAAAGAGCTGTTGAGTATAATGATAAGAATTCCAAGATAGCCCAACACGTTGAGCAATATGACCATAATATGGACTTTGAAAACGGCGAAATAGTTACTAGAGAGAAAAATTATCGCAAACGATTG